CTATGTGTCACTACCCCCAAAGTACAGTGTACCTATCTGTAATTTACCCTAATATAAAACAACAGATAGGTTTTACTTATATGGAATTGATCATAAGGCACTACTCATAATGAGAAAGGCACAGTTTTATGTCTTTTATTTTTTTCAAAGAAAAGAAAGGCATGAATTCAAACCACAGAAAGGCAAACTCTCCACATTATGTGTCCAAAGGCCTTGTGTGCATCCTGTCACTAACCCATTGATCTCGGGGAGTGTACCATCCAGCACATCCCACCATATATTGGGAACATCTCTCCATGATTATAACACACAAGTATGGAAGATGTTTCCAACGTACAGCTAAAACGCTATGTGAGGAGCAGATCAAATCTCCTTAAGCCACATCACCAAGGCAACATTCAAAAATTATTAAACTCTTCCAACAATTCCTGTTACCAAATAATTCCTCTACCAAAAACCTAACAACCCCACAGGTTCTATCACATCTCTTACTAAAACTCACATCCAAATGGCCATTACTTTAGTCAATTCTATTATCTCATCATTCATTTTACACATGCAAATGCATATATTTAAATATACACAGATTTTTTTTATTTTCTTTTAAGAAAATGTCAAAAGCGATCCCGGATTTCCACTAAGAAAAAACTCTGCTCACAAAGCACCCCACCACACATTGGGAATATATCCCATACATGTATATTAAATTCATGGTGAGATATTCCCAGTGTGCAATTGGATTCCCATGTTTTCGGAGTATATGTATATCATTGCCTCAAAAGCAATAGTGAATTACCAAAATAAATCAATTGACTATCAATCAAGTGTGTGTTTTGTTCTGTGAGCGTTTGTGATAGGCCTTTATCAAAACGTTGCCATATCATCATCAAATCAACATTTTCCAATCATATTCATCTGTATGTATTGATATTCACAAAAGTGAGTTTTAATTTATGTGTGCATCAACTATTGGGGGAAGCTTCATTTTAACGCCTCCCCCAATAGTTGAGCATTTATTCACTTTCTACTGATGTGGTGCCTAATGGTGCTTAGTGGCACCTAATTGTCCATAAACAATTTATCAAGTATTTTTCTCGATTTTGGAAACAAATCGAGTACAAACGTTTATTTAATAAACAAAAGCTATTCCAAACACATACATAAGATTGTCCTTCACATACAAAACATAACCATCTTGAATGATTTTCACTATAAACATCAACTATGCAACAGATTGTCTAAATTGGAATAAAGAAATGTTTTATATATTATAAAATTTCCATACTCTAGAAATATTGGTGAAAATAGGAATACCTGCAAATATGGTCTAGATTTTAAATTTTAGGTTTCCTTGGGCTTGGGCTCTCGCCTAGCCCTTCAAATTGAACCCCTACCTCTAATCTGATAGTGCAATGATGTAAGGCTCTGTTTGGTTTGTGGGAAAATTTGGGTGGGATGGGAAAAGATGGGATGGGATGTGATGGGAAAGTGTAAAAATCTAACTTTCCATTGTTTGATTTTGTTGGAATGGAATGAGATGGGAAAATGTAAAAGGGGATTTTAAAACCAGTGGCCACAGCGGTTCTATTTTTAGGTCGATTTTAAAACCTTGGTTAAAATTGACTAATATGATCATGTTCTGATGGAATGATATATGTTTGTTGATTTCACTTTCTCAAATTTTCTCACTTTCAAGGTTTTCATTTTCATCCGAAACRCCTATGAGAGAGTTCCCATATGCAAAAACACTTGAGATCTTGTATAAAAAAACAAAATTAAAGTTCATTGAGGTCAAGAATAAGAGGAAGAAAGCATTTTTTGCATTTAATTCTTGAATTGCAAATCCACATTTATTGGTATTTAAAATGCTGATCTATAATGTTTTTGCTTGTACTAATAGATCAAAAAAAACCAAAGATAAACTATTTAACAATAATGTAAGTGAAAGAAAGAACTATAAGATTGGTCTATGAAAATTGCATCCAATCAATTGATCCATCAACAACTTATGTCCAAAATGTTTTTTTTTTATTTTTTTATTTTTTGGTGATCTAGAAAAGTAAAAATAATAAAAACAGAACAATGATTTAGTAATTGTGGTTTATGAGTTGCATCAGATATGATATGCATTTTAGAAGTTCTATACTTCTAATGGATCAGAAAATTTTAAATAAATTATATATTTCTGTAAATTAGTAATTAATAATTTAATTATAATAAATAATTGAATAACTTTGAATATTTGCACAAATGAAAATTAATATTTACAAGATTGACTTAATTTACATTAGTAACATTGAATCTTTTCTTTTCTTTCTTTATGGTCATTCAGGATTAGGTAAGGAAGGATTTGTACCACCCTATCAAAATCCCAGACCCCCTCTAAATCTTTTTACTTTGTAAAGTGAAGCTCAAAAATCAAAATATATCATATGAATTTATGGGTGGCAATTGGACGTGTTTGGTTGGGTTGGATTTGTGTTGCTTTAACTCAATCCGTCTGACTCACTAACCCATTAATGACCCATTTAGGAAATTTTAAATGGGTTGGGTTCAATCCAAAACCGCCTTAACCCAATTCAATTCACCCAACCCATTAATCCTACATACAATACATAAAAAATATAACATAAATTATATAAACATATAACATAAATTACAAAAAATTATAAAAAAAAAAAAACATAAAAAACAAAAATACAAGAAAATATAATAAAAGTTATAAATAAACATAGAAAATAATATATATAGAGAGAGAGAGGGAGAGAGAGAAAACAAGAAAAAATTACAAAAAATACAAATAAGCATTGTAAACCGTAAAATGACAAAGTTGAAGAGAACTAGCAAGAAATGAATCTATCATTCATGAGTGAGAAAGGCGTTGAGAAGCAAGGACTTGAAGGATTCCAGTAATTGAAAGGAGAGTGGTTCCGTCCCCTTGACAAAGAAGCAAGAAGTGATTCATTTGACACTAGACTTGTTCATGGGCTGGTAGCTTGACGGATTGGCCCAGCCAAGCCTGTTCTTTATTGGGTTTGCAGGCCCATGATTTTGAGCTCCAACTGGCTTGAGCCCAGCTTGATAATATTACAGCATAGGTAAAAGTTTTATGTTCAAATCGGGCCTTGGGCTTTATAGAAGGGTCAGGCTTGCACTCAGGACTGGACATTTTCTATTAATAAAGAGGCAAAGCCTGATCCAAATCCAGCATGACTCGGCCAATTAACAGGTCTATTTGACACCAACTGATGACTCTTCCATCATAAGTCAAGTGAAAAGAAAAGGAAGATGAAAAATTGTTGGTTTTTACATGCACCAAGAGATAAAAGTAAAGAACAATTATTGTTTTCAATTTTTTAATGTTTGGATGGGAATAGTAAGCTGGTGCTGAACGAAAAAAAAAATGACCCGATTAATGTTCTAAAATTTGAATGAAATATGTTTATGGATTACCCATTGGTTGAATGTCATATGTCATCCAAACGGAAATAGTAAAAGTTTGGTGCTGAACGGAAATTTGTCATATTTCATCCAAACGGAAAAAAAAAATGACCGAGAGATGAGGGGAGGAAAGCAGAAAACTTGAAATAATAAAAGTTAATATGGATTACCCATTGGATAACCATGACCCAACCCAACCCATTAAATAACCCTTTATTAGATAACCCAAACCGCTAGTGACACAGGCTAAATGAATACAACCCAACTCGCTAATTAATGGGTGGATTGGGTAAAAAAATTGCCACCGATACACACCATTATGTTTGATATTTTAGATAAGATAGACAGAGATATAGAGGGAGAACCTGGATGAAGGCAAACTAAATCCCGGGTCTCACCTACGGCTATTAATGGATCGGATCGAATTGGATATAGGCATATCCAAATTTGATTTGTTAACATTTGAATTTGAACCAGATCATATCTATTGAATATCTGGTGGATTCAAATTAAATTCAAATTATAATCGGATATTAGTATAAATAAATTAGACTAAAAATAACCAAAATATTATATATTATTAATAAGATGAGTTAAAAATGACTTTAATAATATATTTTATGAACAAAATGAATTGAAAATTACTTGTACCAAACTTGAACATACGACAATTTAATGAAAATTCAACATTAAGACCATCCATATTGATCCAATTATAAACAGATTGAATTCGGACAATGCTTAATAGGATCGAATTCGAATTCGGAATCGGATAAACGGATACTGTTTGCAGTCCTAGTCTCACCTACAACCAATTAGAGATTTTACAAGCAGGGTTGCCCGAACCTAAGACCAAAATTTACTTGATCACATCTCTGACCCATTAGCCGAAATGAGTGGGCTTGGATGGATTAGATTGGCTTATATATTGCAACCCATACCAATGTATTTTCAAATGCATCTTTGAGTTAACGTGTTTGAAGGCTAATGACAATTAGGCCATAGGCCACATGATTTTACATTTGATTTCAATTTTAAATTCAATATTTAACATAATTCGGATAAATGGAATGTGGATGGAATCAGTCAAATACAGATATGACCTAATTGAATTCAATAAATATCCAAATTTAGCGGATCATTTAATTTTTATATATAATATACAATATTTAAATATTTTATATAATTTACATATATAATAATTAAATTATATAAACAATTTAAATATTCAAATAAAATTCAAAATATTAATTTTTAATATCAATCAGGTATCAAGTCGAACTCATATATATATATATTTTATATAATATAATATTCATTTTATACATTTATTAATTACCTAAAATAATTAATTAGTCAAATTCAAATCAAATTAAATATTCAAATATTTAATAAAATTCAAAATATTAATTTTTAATATCAATCAGGTATCAAATCGAACTCATATATCAGATTTTCTAATTCAATTCAAATTTAATCCGTTTATGTGCCACATCTCGTAGAATACCATCTTGTCCGGGTAAGGAAAGAAATAAAGTAATACAAATTGGAGAAAGATATTCCTTGAAATAGATCCCAAGAGTGAGCATTGACATTGAGCACAACTGCATGATAAATTGAAGAGAGGATGCAGAATACAATTCCCTACATACACACCTTCTCATCATAGTCAAATCCCTTAACCTACAATGAGTGCTATGCTATCACTTCATCCCTATGTATTAAAATGTTTATGTGCCACATCTGATCGGAAATTTTGATCAGTCACATTGCAATTACAATCGTCAATTACAGTACAACAGGGAGTACTTGTTGAATGAGGAACTCGAACTACATAGAATTATGACACAGAACAGGAAAAGAACAAAAAAAAAAGAAAAAGAAAAGAACTCCCGCCCACCCAAGTTAGACAGGATAAATAAGCTAGTGCTCACCGCTCAGAACTTATAGGAGAAAAGAGGGGGGACGTGGGGCTAAGAAGCCCAACTGGGGCCACTATGTTGAGGCCGAATCTGGGATAAGTAACGAGGCCAGCATCCTATAACACTTGAAGCACCCTAGATGTAAGGAGCTACAAAATTTTGGACAGGAATGGATTACCAACAGGACCAGATCAGTAAGTCAAGTCAATTACTTTTTCTCCTAGCTAGTTGAATTGGTTAAAGAGATGGAATGAGCATGCAACATGTCATATATATGCCTTGCATTTGGACGATCACCAGGATCCCCTTTGGTGCACTGATGGAAGATGTCCACAAGGAGTCTCATTGTTTCTTGTTCACCTTCTGGACACTCAGAAGATGAGCTCAATCTACTTGTTTGCCGCTCATCTGAAGATCTCAGTGACTCCAGTTCATCTGCAAGTCGGGGTCGTTTGCCCCTCTGTATCAACAGGAAAAAAAAAAAAAAGAAAAACGAAAAGAGCATGCCTTAGTCCAACCCTTTGACACAAAAATATCAAAAGTTTACATTATTCTCCACGCTGGAACATAGGTTAGGAAAACATTARTATTCCAAGAAAATTTGAAGGGGAAGCCTGCAGGTCGGTATCCTGTCGGGCTCTCATAGAATTTGTATTCAAGACATGGCTGTTTTGGCAAATATGACGGGGAAAACAAGGTTCAGAAAAAAAAAAGTTTGAAAAAAATGGTGTCAACTGAAAAGGAAAGAAATGATATAATTTCAACAACACCTGAAGTAGGCCATGAATTTCAGAATCTGGCAACCCTGCATAAGGAACTTGCAGCGTCAAAAGTTCCAAGAGCAAGCACCCATATGACCAAATATCCACTTCCTGCAACCACAACAAGAAAGACGTCATCATCTGAGGAACTTTTGACATACACAAGCTTTTTATAGTATGATTTGTTACAGTATGCCAGGCATGCCATGTACAGGTACCAGGGTATCAGTCATTAGTCAGTGTAACCACTCTCTAGGTCCGACTTTTCTTTTTCACCAAAATAATTGCACTTATGTCAATTATTAAAGTATTGTTAAACTGAGCAACAAGATACCATGTTGGTTTGAGGAAATTTGTTTCACAAATTGATACCTAAAGCCTTGACATACATCCCAAACAAGTTCTAAGTACTCACAAAGCTGACAATTTGTTTCACAAAAAATAGTAAACCAGTTAGGAGGTGAAAACTTGCCAGTCCATATAATTTCCGTCTGTGCATTGCCTGAAGGACCTCAGGAGCCATCCAGCGAGGTGTTCCAACACAAACATCAGGAGGAGGAATTCCAACATGAGCAAGACAGCATGTGTGTAAGAAAGACCGAAGAGGAACTGCTCTGTCAAAATCACATAACTTGACAATTGGACTGCCATCAGCTCTCTTGTTATCCAAATCAACCAGGATGTTTTCACTTTTGATATCTCGATGAATAATATGCTTAGAATGCAATTCTACCAAGGCGCATGCAACATCCCGAGCAATAAACAATGCCAACTCCATAGGGACATGTTTCTTACCATCTTTTGATAGGTTCTCCATATAACTCTGTTTCATATGCCCAGAAAACAATATGAATTCAAACTGCATATTAAGATAAAAATGAAAAGAATAAAATTTGAAGAGATAAATTACCTTTAAGGAACCACCTTTTATGTACTCCATCACAATTGCAGACTGTAATAGACGATACTCTTTACTTCCATTTAATGGAGAAACCCACTTGGAAGAGATTTGGTGTCCATAAATTTCTACAATGCAGGGATGTTTGTTTAGAACCCTTAACATCCTAAGCTCTCCTAAGCAAGTGTACTCGAAATTTCTCACATCTTCCACTGATTCCTCGCATGCTTCTAAAGTACGAACCTAGAGCATTCAATACAGGGATGCATAGTTAGACTCTTAGAGGAGAAATAATTTTAAAGAAAAGCACAGACTATCAAAAGGAACTAAATAAACACACTTGCAAAGTAAAGAAAAATCATACGATTATGGTATAAGATCTAATTCCCACCCCCCAATACTCTTCTAAAATTCCCTTTTCATTATGTGATGTCAACCACAACCAGTGTCCAATAGAAATTGAGGATAAATGAATAAAATGACAAAAAAATATAATCTCAAGGTAATGCCAAGTGAAAGATAAACACCTTTGCTGCAGCCTCAACTGATCCAAATTTACACTGGATAAGAGAAGTTTGTGCTTTTTTTTCAACTTCATCACGTGACGACAGAGAAGGGAGAGAGCAATTCAAGTCATCAATCATTTTGCTATCCAGAGGATCATGTAGCCGACTCAGAGGAATATACCTAAAATAGAAAGATTATTCATCAGAAAAATCTCCCAGAACTTCAACTTGTAGAAGCATCTATGGACACCTATCTTAAACACAGAAACTTGTTATTCAGGAAAAGAAATGAGATGCCAAATTAACTCGTGATAGCAGCTGCAAACTACAAGACTATCAAAAACTCATGTCTATTAATAAAAAGTACAAGGAATAAAAAAGTGCAAAGTGCATTTTGCGTGAAGGTGGAAAGCAAGCGTGCGCTTTTTCAAAGCAAGACATAATTTTTAAAAAATCAAATAATTCAAAAAATATGTAAAAAAATCAAAAATAAATTAAGAACATATTAAAAACAATATTAATTAAAAACACAAAGTTTAATTTTAAACTAAATATTTTAAAATGCTTATCAAAGATAACATATAAAACACATTCAAGTACATCAAACTTTCAATTTATCTATTTTTTCCTAACTGCACTGTTTTAAATAGATAATATGATGTTAAATATATTTCATTCTTCATTCTAAAGCCACCTTTGTACCAAACCCCTTGAGGCAAGACTAAACAAATTCATGTTGGGTCTTAAATTCTTAATCCCTACCAAAAAAATGGTTTTACAATTTTATTTATCTTTTAGAAAATATCCTTTGTTAGGAAAAATGAAAGAACATTACCTAATAGGTGGTACTAACCATTTATTTTATAGGAATTATTAAGAATTTAAAACCACAACAAGGATAGATTTGGGCTTGACTCAAGGGGCTTGGATGGGAGTCTGAGGGAGGAGCCCCCGGGCTCAGCCTCCATGCTTCAAAAATACAAAAAAAGAGCACAACAATTAACAAACGCACACACCTCAGATGAGGCACAAAGTGCACCAGGCGCACGCCTAGGCACAGGTTCATACCCTAAAATGCGCCGCAACTGTGCACCTATTCACACTTTTTATATCACTGGGCATTATTATAGAAATACCCAAAGATATGCAAATAAAATTTGTAATCCCACATATCATTCATTAGATCAAAAAAAGAAGAAAATCTTCTCCATGTTATAGAGTATCAAATCATTCTAATGCGTCCACACAGAGAAAAAGAAAGGCAACAAGAAGAGAAAATCACCTGCAGAAATATTCTGGGTCTGTTTCCTCTCTTATATCAGTTGGATGGCATGCATCAACAACCATACGCACCACTGAATCACCCTTCTTGGCAATAATGGCATTCCATGCATGTGGCATGAAATCCAGATAGCCTCTGACAAGCTCACAAGGAATGGGAGGCTCCACCCGATCACATAGATACTACAAATTAGAAGATTGTTCAGTACATAATGGTTGAAATAGGAGAATAATCAAAAACAAAAAAAAACACTTTGAAACATTGTCCAGTAAAAGAATCACCTTCATAAGCACTGCCCTATGTCTACAAACACCAAAACGCAGAGTCCCAATAGGAACAATGTTGGAATTCCGTGTTTCTTTGATAAATCGAAGAGATTTCTCACAAAGTTCAATGAAATTACAATCTGACGTTGCTGAAGCGTGTTTGATTGGTGTCCTATTATCATCACTATTCCCAGATGAGCAGGTACATACAAATGGCTTCTGATAATTTGAACCAGATACAGATTTCCGTGCCTTCTCAATGATAGAACTTCTATCACTACCGCCAAAACAACTTGAGACAAATAGAGCAAGCCATGATGCTACCCGCAAGTTATCAACAGCATCATGATCCCTGTCCTCAACCGAACCACTTGTCTGCTTAAAACGAGACACCAATGCCTGAGCAGACAATAGAATTGCATCTAACTCCTCATCTCTTTCTCTGAAGCATATCAAAGAAAATGAAGCAAATAGTTTCATCAGATCCATAAAACTAAAGGCATTACATCTCCAGCTAAGAATGATTAAATGATATTACTATTTCAGGAATTTAAATATATTACAAGCATGGAGAAGTGCTACCTGTCCACAAGAATTACTTCCCGTGAATCAAGACATAGAGCCTGCTCATAATTCTCCAGTGGCATGAAAGGGCGATCACGCCCTGCATCATAAAAACCATCTGGTAGACGATCATCAATGCTACAGAATGATATGCTGCTATATTTGCAGGACAAATTTGAGTGATCAGGGAAAGGTCTCCTAGATTTGCTAGGTTTAGGATTGTCAAGATCCCTATCTGAATGCCTTTTTGGCTTTGAAATGTTTATGGATACCTCTGATGATGAGTCCTCATCTTGACCATCAAAGTCAATGCACGAGCAGTTATCTCCAGAAGGCCCCTTACTTGAACTGATTTCCTTAGCAACTCTCCTTGTGTTCTCTTCATCAATATCTTTTACAATGTTTGATGCACACTCAGCAATAGAATCAGAGGCAACCACATGTAGTTCGCACGGTTTGCGTTTCATAGCAACCTCTGTAGTCATTATCTGGTCATGATCTTCAACTCTCAGCTTCCTACTATTGTTTAAACGCTCCTGGCGAGCTCTCTGTTGCAAACAATCACGCCAATTTGACCCTTTTCTCGTCCTTCGTGAAGCAGAACATCTACCATTTGATGAGACCTCAGACAACATACTGGAAGAGGTACCAGATGAACCTGATTTAAGTTCATAAGTATCAAAAATTCAGCTATACAACCATAATCTACACCATAAACACAAAAAAAAGCTGACACAAAATCAGTAAACAGGTCTTGTTAACATACCATTACAAGAACTACTTGCATCAACCTTCTTGATAGCAGCATCAAATGCATCTACCTCAACTGAAGAGCTGATGAATTCATCATTGGATGTGTCTTTTCCATTCCCTTCCAAATTGCAGCATATCCATGAAGGAATTTGACAATAATCAAGAAGCTTATTGTACTACAACCAGTAATCAAGAATTACGGACACCAAAAAGAACGTTAGATCCACATAATTCAAAAATGGATACCAAGAAATGACATAAAAGATTCAAATGAATGAACTTAGAGTTATCAAAACTGACAAAAAGTTCTCAAGGCACAAAATAAATTAGCATTTCAAGCTTTTTTTAAACAAGAGGAATGAAACAAGATACTAAAAAAGAATTAAAGAAAAATGAGTCTGATAAAAGGAATACACAACCATCACCCTGCTGAACTTATGCATCTAAATTACATTCAGTTCCAACAATGACAGAATGATAACATCTCCAAACAATAGAAACATCAAGGGTCATAGTAAACTATAAATGGTGAAAAAAGTCGGGCACTAAGCACCTAATTCAACCTATGAAAATCAAAGAACAAATAAGAATCTAGAAAAGGGCTCAGAATATCACATTTATCATTTTTGGTGCTGTACCTGAAGATTTAATTTCTGGAGGGTGTGCATCGAGGCAAGATTGAGAGAGCCCAATGAAGTCAACCGATTATTAGACAGATCCAGGATTTCAAGACGTTGCAAGCAAGACAACCCTAAGGGCAATTCCACCAATTTATTGTTCGCAACTTTCAGTGATTTCAAAGCACTTAAGAAAGTGACCTCATTAGGTAAACTCTTCAGTTTATTGAATGAAAGATCTAAGTATTCCAGCTTACTAAGACAGCTAATCTCCGGAGGAAGGTATCTACAGGAAAAGGAAAGAAAACTGCATTAAATTACAGCAGGGTGAATCTAAGGAAATTTCATAAATTAAGGGAATGTTCACCAACATGAATGGTTCTGTTTTTCAAAACAAAAAAAAAGAAAACCTTACACATCAAAAGCAAAAATAGAATAAAACCAAATAAAGTAAAAAACAATAATAAAAGCACGCATATCTAAACTACCCCTAAACCACACATATCTCAGGGCTTTCACCAGACACTATACTGAAAAGTCTGAAATACTCAAAACCTCAAATCAGTTGCAAGTTAAATAACAACCATAACTTAATTGAGTTCCTCATAATATTATAAAAGTATGGTCTAAATTTAGAGCTAATTAAGTTAAGAAGAGAAATAATTGATTTCTGAGACAGCTTCTTCTTTTTTTCTATTTTTACAGTAAACCTCGAATTAGTTGGAAGTTAACAAAATTTAGCAATTAACTGAGTTGCCAGGCAAAAATCCGGTATGAAATTAGAGTTTTTTATTGRTAACTTAGTTTTAATGGTTTTGAACTTTTAATAATAAGATATATGCACACCACTGCCATGTAGATTCCCAACACAGTCTGGCTGAAGGTGCCATACCTTACACCCTTAACCATTTACCATAATATCTGATTACAGTAGAGTTAATCAAACCAAGAAGGAAGCCAAAAGATTTATTAGTCAACTTCTGAACCCCCTACTTTGTATTTTTACAATAAAGGGCAAAAATTAGGCAGAAGCACAGAAGTCCTTAGTTTTCATGAACATAGAGATATGGCAGTGACAGAGCTGGATATGGAATTTACACCAAGTATCCAAAACAATACAGCACCCTTGAAAAGGTGGCAGGATATCATAGGTTTAGAGTCATTATACAAAATTCAATTGGACCTTCTGATTCATCATAGCATACTTCCCTTGTATAGGTATCAGGATATCATAGGTTTAGACTCATTACGCACAATACGGTTGGACTTTAAGATGCATCTCAAAATACTTCCCAATACAGACATGTCTTTAATAAAAAATCCAGGAAAAATAAATAACTTCTAAAACATAATTACAGAAAGTTCAGAACACCAATCAAGTGTGTAGACAGTACAACTTCACTGTTCATCAAATCAAAACTAACCTGAGAAGCCAGCTAAAGATAAGCCCATGTAATTATGCGGCACTGCTTATCACATTTGAAAAAATGGGGGGACTAAAAACCTAGGAACACAATAAATTGGCAAATTCTCCTAATTAGGAAAAAACAATAGAGGTTTCCCATTTATGCAGACCCTTTATGGACCCCATTAACCTTAAATTTCTCTTATCCTTGAAAAAATTAGATTGTTTCTAAGTTCTGAAAAATATAGGTATGTTTTGAGTTCTATATATGTATCCCTGTGCCCACTTCATATTTTATTTTTCTATTTTTTAAAATTGTGTGGCCATTTTGGCGAGCAGGATAAACCAGTTATCCGACAATAACAGGAAAAGCAAGCATATCATTGACTACTAGTCACAAACATGTGTTAATTGTAATTAATAGTTAAGCGAATAAGAAATTTTCCAATTTCTTGTATTTTATCTTCATGTTTTGAGGAATTAACTTTTCTCATAATAGAACTTTCGAAGTATATAGTACACACTATATAGATTTATATACATGCATCTTTTTTATTTGTCTTTATATACATACATAATGATTGTAAATTAGCTTTAAATGCATACATGTTGAGAGTGAATTACATGCACACATATGTTAGTCCGTCGAGAGAAATCTGACACCCCAAATTTTTCTTTTTTATATCAGTAAAATTTTTCTTGTTTCTATCATCCCAGAAATAAATATATTTCCTGTTTCTTTGAGTTACCACAAACGTAGAAAATACACTTACCTTATAGAAAAGTGGCAAAAAGATAGCTTAGTCAAGGAAGTCAGGCCAGCAACCTCGCTCAGAATAGGAAATGACGATGGGCGCGGGGGAACTTTACAGAGCTCCAGCTCCTTCAAAGCTTTCAACTTATGCAGCGGCAGACCTGACAGTCCAGGTGATGATATTTTTACTTGCAAGCATTCCAACTCAACCAAATTCTCGGCCTCGGACGGAAACAAATTAATTTCATTTGCAAAGAATTTCAGGGTCTTCAAGCGCTCGAGCCCTCCAAGCGCTCGAGGAATTAAGTTAAAAACGTTTCTGTACAAATACAATCCCCTTATTGAATTCTTGGAAGAATCAAAGAGAGAAAGCTCCCACGTTTTACCCGACACGTCAAGAACAGGCTCGTCGTCCAAATTCTCACCCTCCGGTTCATCCGCTGGAGATTTCTCTGCTACACTGTCTTCGTTAGGCTGCGCTCCATCATCTGAAACGATGTCTTGAGATCCAGGATCTTGCATTGCTATAAACTGATGGAAAGACACCCCAAAACCACTAAACAGAGAATGAGGTCTAAGAATAACCAATCAAAGATAAATAGGAGCAAGAAAAGTAACTTTCTCTTCTCCTGAATAAAACTAGGGTTTTGGTTAGGGTTTCACCAAATGGATGAATAAAAAAGGGAAAAAATAAATCGAAGAAGTGAAATAAACAACCAAATTAGATTAGGGTTTCAGCCGCCGAAAAGATACAGGAGAAGACTAAAGGAGGAGAAAGAGAGAAAAGAGACCTGCAGAGCGGGGGAACGAATACTAAAAAACCGCTCTTGCAAGTCGCAGAAACTAAAAAGTAGAAACCCTAGTCACGGCGGAAGGAACAAGTAAAATGGAAATTTAATAAGCGGTTCAAGTGAAAAACAAAAGGAGAGGGCCGAGGGGACATAGGAGATTGGAAACCGGGTTGGTCCACGAAGGTCGACGACCGGGTTCATCCTTGCTGTTTTGATGCGCTGGCCGGTTTTTTCTTCCTTGTTTCTGTTGGATGATTGGATCCCATATCCCACACACCAACAGAGCATAGGCAATAACCCAAAGGGCAGTTTAGTCAAACCACCTTCGAAATCTAAACAGTTGGGAAATTCAAATCAAATCCATTTTTTATAGATAATCAAAAATGTTCAAATAAAATCCTTTTTATTAGTGAAAAAAGCGAGCAGGCAGTGACGCTCCGCTGGCCATGTTCCTTCCATCATCGCCAGTCTGATAATGCGTGAAAAACGGAAACGTGGACATGCGGATGCGGTTAGCAACGAACCGACTAGACCCTAGAGTGGCTCATAAATAAGGCCCAGGCTCAACCTACGAGCTTAAGTTAATCTAATACGCTAATAGCATAACCATATAAACTCGGTTCCAAAATTTTACTAGTTAAAATCATACAAAAGGTGTTATGAAAGTTTAAGGGTCCATTTGGTTTGCAGTTGAAATCAGATTTGGAATCAAGGTCTTATTCGGTTTGCAGGAATTGGGGTCTGGAATTAGAGTCGGAATGGACGATTCCAATTTCAACTGCTTGGTTGGACGGAATTAGAATCTCATTTTCTATCCTTGATGGAATGGCATTTCCCGTTCATTCCCTCAAATGAAGGAATGTCATTTTGTTTTGAATGGGAATGAGATTCCAATTTTATCCAACCAAACAGTTGAAATTGAAATGAAAAGAGAATTAATGAAAAATAAACAGATTTTAATTTGATTAATTGATTTAATTTGTAGCTAATGTTAGTGAATTCAAGTAGTTAAATTTTAATATACATGTTCACAAACCTTTTATTTTTTGTAATATGGTGTCAAAATGTCGGCTTATATGGACTATGGAGTATGAACATAAATATAACGTGGCAGTTACCCTTAGCTTAATATGATTTCATTTATACCGGTGTAGAAGTATGAGAGTGAAAATAAGGTTGTAAATTGTGGTTTGCTTTTGTTCTAGGCTTTATTTTATTTAGGCTATGTTTGAAAATGATGCAAATGGAGTGTAAATCTCGGTTCAGGGTAAATTTGCACTCTTGTTTACTTTTGTCTGTGTTTGACAACATTGCATTTATGCATTGACAAATGACATATTGATAATAAGATGTAAAAGTACATCAATAAAAAAGAAGTAAATTTGCATTCAAATGGGTTATGATAAAAAAAGACATATGCTTTATTGGAATTCTTGTTTGCATCCATTACAGCTAAAAGTTTGTTTAATAAGAAGGTAATTTTGTCAATGCAAAACTAATCCAACTTTACAATTTATATGGATCATTTTACACTACATATTTGCATTCACAATAATTTGCATAGTTTTCAAACACAGCTTAGTTCATGTACATGCAAATGAAGTAAAGTAAAATAACTTTTGAAAGCCAAAATTTGCATTTATTAAAGAAAATGTAAAATTGATTTAGTTTTGCATTGGTGTCAAATGGTTTTAGTTGTGATGGGCACAAATATGAACTCTAATATTAAAATTCACTTATTTTACATTAAGATTAATTGCGTTTATTTTCTGTATAAATATGTGACCAGTGTAAAACTTTACTCCCAATCTGTATTTATTGGCATTTGTTTTGAATGTACGTAGTTTTATCGATGTAAATTCCACTTACGATGAAATTTTACATAAATACAATATCAATGAAATCGACATAAATATTTTTTCACTTAAAAACAGTTCACTCGTTTAAACCGATCAGTGTTGAAATATTTACACCAACTGATCTCGGTAATTCTTCGTCTTTTCTCCTTTTTCTTCAGATAAAAAACCTAAAAGTGAAATATTTTTTTAGGCTCAGTTTGAAAAGAATATTAATACAAATATGCAGAGTGTAAAACCTTGTATTTTATATTTTTTATTCAACATATTTGTATTATATTAGGCTAAGTTTAGAAGAAATACAAATACAAATATATGCAATATAAATACATACAAAATAATATAAAATACAAAGTTTTGCATTCTACATATTTAAATTTATACTTCTTCCTAACTGAACTTAAGAAGTATAAACATAAATACATACAAAATAACAAAAAATACAAGATTTTGCACTCTACATATTTGTATTTGTACTGTTCCGATCAATAAAGAGTAAAAATACAAATATTTTCTTATAAACAGAGCCTAAGGTTGCGTTTGGAAACGATACAAATAAGTGTGAATGCAAATATATAGAGTGTAAGACCGTTCATATAAATTGCAAAGTTGGATTAATTTTGCACTAACAAATTTATCTTCTTACCAAACAGACTTTTAACCATAATGGATGTAAACATGAATTCTAATAAAACATATGTTTTTTTTTTATCAAAAACCCACTTAAATGTAAATTTACTTCCTTCTTATTGATGTAGTTTTACATCTTATTATCAATTTAAATATGCATTGGTCTGTCATTTGTCAATGCATAAATGTAATGATATCAAACACAAACAAAAACGAATCAGAGTACAACTTTACCCTGAACCGAGATTTACACATCATTTGCATAATTTCCAGACACAGCCTAAAGAGATAATTTTCATGGTCAATGCAAAACAGAAAAAATGCTACAAAACCAAGATAATTATAATAGAGATTAGACTGGATTAGTGTCTTCACTAACATTAGTAGCGCACTCCTCCATGGTTAAAACCCAATTTTATGTAAGGTACTATTTTTATTACGTTTAATCGATTCATGTGCTTCATTTTTGGTGTTTATCATTCAAGTGTGCTGCCGTTAATAGTGTCTCCAACGTTGTGTATATGGGTGCAGTATATGATAAATAATAAAAAGAAACATGGCGGTTAAAAACAAAAGGAAGGAAAATGAATGATTTTCTTAGAAATTAAAATCCAATATAAAACCTGGTTAGATGGGGAGGGATCATTAGTTGGTGTAATTGTGAGATATCGGACTGACAAGCGTGAGAATATGTAAGGTGGTTAGGGGTGATCATTTCAGTCCGGCCTGCACAAGCCTGGTTCGAAAATTTCGGGTTTGGGCCTGGGTTTTGTGTTTAGGCCCAGGCTCACGTCAAGCCCGCAAATTTTAGAGCTACCGCTTTGCATATATTTAAACTTATACATTTTATGTATAATGTATACATATATATAAATGTTATTTTACATTATATTATATATTTTATATATAAATATTATAACATGACATGTATAATTTATATTATATGTAATATTTTATATTATATAATATATAAAATAAAAATTTATATACATGTTATGTCATTTAATATAAAATATTATAGATATGCAATGTTTTATATATGAAAGACATTGGCCCAGAATCAGGCCCAACCCAGCTCGGGCCTGTGCAGACATGGGCTAAGGCTTATGCTATAGGCCCAGAACCCTGGGCTGGGCCGAGCCTAGGTCTAAGCTATAACCCTTATCATAAGTGCAAAGCCCAGCCCGACCCATGATCACTCCTAGGGGTGGCCATTCAGTTTATTCGGTTAAACTGAATTTATTGAAAGTCATAAGAAACTGAAATTAAAAAATAAAAAACGAATTGAAATCAAATTATAAGAAAACCAAAATAATCAAAATCAAAATTTTTGGTTATTTTGATTAAAACCGAATTTCAATAATATATTATAATATATGTAATGAAACCAAATTTCATTAAAATATATTATATATTATACATTAATAAATAAATATATTATATTATATAATGAAATTTGATTAATTCAACTAACCAAATTTCTAATTTTAAAAACCAAAGCTAAAGCTGAATATTCAAAAGATGAACTAACCAAACCAAATTAACAAAAAATCAAAAATGTCAAAATTGAAATTTTCAGTGTAGTCTTTAGATTTTAACTAAATAATGCTCACCCCTAATTTTTTAGTATTCGAATGAGAATGATCGATTTATACAACAAAAAATGGTTAGCGCCGTATCAAATCTATCCCTTCCAACATCTCATATGGTTGGATCAACATTGGGTAATCGTCTTTTTTTAGATGTCGTTGGGGGTAAGAATCTACTGGTAAAATCTTTTATCTGTGTTCACTTTTCTCTACTTGATGACAACCCCACAAAAAGTAGGGAAGGAGGAGGATGATGTTGTAAAGAAGTAAACATGAAATGTATGAATGATCATATTTTCGGTCCCTACAACATCATCGTCCTTTGTTCCTACAAGTATGATTATTTCTCCTCCTCGTCAATTCATGTGATGAGGGGTGATTTGGCCTTCCAATCACATAGAGCCACGTGGTGAGTCCAAACCGTTTTGTAATACATTGGAACTACATGTAAGTAGGTCGCATCCAACCAAATTGGCCTAAGCTGACCAGTCTGAACTGTATTTTGACCGATGGAAGATCAGCGGGTTGCTTCACGGCAGAATGAAGCACGCCACCTCGAGGGAGAAAGCTAATGACTTCAGGTACCGGCTTGTCCTCCCCCGACATGGGCATCCAATGACTTGAGTAGTTAATTTACCTCTAAGGGACTGGTGTACGTGATAGGCTATCCTTATCATGTTAGCACGCTTATTGGTTCCGATATAAACTGCAGCGCGTCGCCCACCTGGCAGGGATGACCCCAGTTTTGCTCACTTCAAGGGGACTGGATGAGGAAAATCACCAATGTCGATAGAATGTGCCCCGAAGATGACAAGCCGATAAGCCTTACCATTCTCGGATCTCTAGGACATTGCTCATAGACCCCTGAAGCCTATAAAAAGGCACCTCTATGCCTTCACAAGGTGCATGTGCGATTAAGTGCAAACAAGCTCTCTTTCTGTATGAATCTTTATACTTTTTTACTTAATAGCTCAACTAACTTAAGCATTAGAGTGCACAATCCGGAGCCAAACCCCAGGTACTTTG